GTACTAAACAGCTATGGCATTATATCGAGATCCAAATTTCAGTCTATGCACATATTGCTAAATGTCAAATGTATTCATATTCATTTATATCCGAATGCTGCATTGAGTGAAAAACTATAAATCATTCATTCCAAAATAAAAATAAAAATAAAAGGATATGCAGCCATATTTAGCACCACAGATGAACTTTATTTATTTTACAGTTAGGTGGGGAAGTGAATAAGCATTTTCAAACAGAAGCTCTGACTGAAAACCAAACTGCAAAGTACACTAGCTCCCACACATCTCCGTTTCTCCTCAGAATATCAGTCGTTCTCACCCTCTCCTTCCTTTCCCATCAATGTGCAGTCTCTGTTTCATTGAAGACCTAGTGAAGACCTCTAGTTGAGCACACAGCATATCCCAGGCCATCATTCAATGTTCTACCTTCATTATTCTTTCTCCAACTGTTTGAGTAGCTGTCTCCTAGGTGGAAAGCTGGTTAAATGCTGAATGGCCCTAATTAGATTGGTTTCTTTCACTCACCCACTGAATTACCTACCAGAAGTCAAGCTATATAAACTTCCTTTCTCCCTTCTCACTAGCTGTTTATTCTTTGATTGTCCCACTATCATTGACCTCTTAATGCTGGAATAAGTCAAAGCCAAGGCCAGGATTTCTTTCTTTATGACTCTCTCTCCCTATTGTCATCTCAGCTAATCCTAGAGTTTCTAATGCTGCCATTTTGCTATCAATTTTTAAATACTGTCTCAATACTACCTCTAAGTGAGGCCCTCCCAAACCCCCAAGGGACTTGTGTGTCTCTCATATATTCTCTTTATAATTCACTACTATAGGTATCCACTTTGATACCACACATCAATCTTACATGCCCAAGTCTGAGTTCCTCATATTACCCTCATATTAAATTCATTCTTCCCAGTGCCTTCCCCTTCCTAATGAATGTGAATTATTTCCTTCATTTACTCAGTCCTCAAAGTGCAGACTCTTTCTAACTTCCCTAATCTCACTGTAAACAACCCAGCAACAAAGAGCTCTTCCTCACAAAGATACTCCAGGTGTGACCACTCCACTTCTTTTTCACACCACCAAGAACAGTTTTAAGTGAGTAATTACTTGGATGCTTTTCCTCACCATCTAACGTGTAGGATTCATGAGGACCAGTCTTCTTGACCTTCCTCCTCGTCCTTCTCCTGCCTAGAACAGACACTCTCACAGCAGCTACTCAACAAAATTCTGTCAGCATTTTGTTAAATAAATATCTCTTCTCAAAATGTCACCTTATTGTGATCTGAAGTGGCAGATTTCTAAGCTGCTTCTTCTTCTTTACTTGCTTTATTTCTCGGTGTTGAGAGCCATCATTTGCCTCTCATCAGATAGAAAGGAAAAAGTTAGTTCAGCCGCCTGTCCACAAGGTAACAAGGAATCTGTTCTCTATCTGTCTGTCTCCAATTAACCCTTCTCTGCAATCCACCACTACCTCTTCGGTTCAAGATCTCACTAGATCTACACAAAATATGGAGTTTCCTTTCCTTTAGCTGATGAGAAAGGCTCCCAGCCCAACTGCTTCCATCCTCCTGGTAGTTACATCCCCTCAGTTCTCTGGTCCCTTCAGCCCACGCATCCATCTAGATTCCCCCAATTTGGCATGCGTTTTGAACTTATACCACCTTTAATAATATCTATTTTCCACATTCTCCCTACATGTCAATGAGCAATGTATTTGCCATTTACAGGACCTAACACAAACATCACTTCCCCATTGCATCAAAATAAAAACGGCTAACAACTACTGTGTGTGTATGCTATAATGGAAGCAATTTACTAGCACTGTGACATTCAATCTTTAAACAAGTCTACTAGAAAGATACTAGTAATTTCTATTAAAAAACATGATGTAAAGAGAGGCTAAAATTATTAAAAATTTTGTCCTACAAGAGTTGTTTGCAAGTCTATCTAATTCCAAAGCATAAATAACAAACCTTTCAATGAACAGCCGATTTGACTTTGAAATAAGCATTCTGCTTTTAGGAAGCAGAATCAAAACAACTCATTGGTTGTTTTGAGATAAGAAGTTCAGACCACAAACTCTAACAAGCGCCCATTTTACAATAAGCTGGGTAGTAAGTCCAAAAATTCACGTCAAACACAGATATATATATACATGTCAGTGGTGGATATATCTATGCAAGGAGCAAAAATGGCCACAGTGCCATTATTAGCTAGCTCCCATATACAGTAACAAGAAATGTAAAAAAGATTAGAGCCTTGTTATTACTTACTACTCAACCCAGTTAAAAGTCACCTGGTGTATTCAGCATGACCTTTACAGTGATACACTGCTGCTGTCTTTACAAGCAGACATTATTAGCCTCCTAATTTTCGAATACTCGGTAGCAGCTTCATTTCACCTAGCTTCTCATTACAAGTTGTTTATTGTTGTTTATTGGCGTTGCACGCGGCATCCCGCCCTGAACTGGGCTTGATAGAGCCTCCAAAGACAGCCTCAGGAGGACTCCATGGAAATGGCCCCAAGGCTGTCTCCAAAGTGGCCCTGTCTCAGTTGCCATGGTAAACAACTAGGCAGATTGCTATATTCAGTTCGCTGCCAGGTCGCCATGGTGACCACGAAGGCCTGCTCCTTAGAAGGACCTCACAAGGGCAGGTTTCCATGGTGACACCCATCCTGCATATTTCCAAGCAACATCTTTTTGGATGTCCAGTGGCCAGTCATGGCAGATTCATTTGTGGGTGATTCCAGAAGGTTGCTAACAATGCATCATGGCACACGGGGATTTTAGTCTGTATAAAACACAAGACTGTGGTGGGCATACCTATGCGATGAGTGAAAGGACATATAAACACAGGATTTAAAAATGTACATGCGGAATTTTACAAATCATTAAACTAGACAGATCTGTTTTGATGAGTAATAAAGTAAAATTTTAAAACCTGTCAATGAATATACATCAATTTAAAAAAAACTTGCAATGCTTCCCTTAAACATAACTGCTTCATACTTAATTTCAGGATATAGTAGAATAATTAAATTTTAAAAATTCACCAATTTTATAACAACTATGAGGGAATTAAATATAGTGGGCATCAAACATAAACACATACCACACACACACATACCACACACACACAAATGAATATGTTAATTAATTAACTTTAAATTTAAAAAATAACTTAATGTAGGAGGGAAGGCCCCCCAGAACAAATGCTGCCTTTGTAAATCATGTTATTATCCTCTGAAAATGTTAAAGTCTCTAGTATTTACTCGAGTAGAAAATTTTGACTAAGCAGTAGTCTTAAGGAATATTAAAATAATTTAACAAATAGAAAATAAATACTGATGTTCAAATGATTTAATTAAAATTTCTGTATATGTGTCTACTCTTTTATTTTCCTTCCAGTAGACTCTAAGACAACAACACAAACACAAATACAAGCCTGTAGGGAGAATGCTAATTTTCCATTTCTTCTTTCCTCTTTATCACATGTAAAGGAAAATATAAATCTTCCTTTGATCACTAAGCTCCTCCATATATATATATATGTATGTATATATACACACACACACACACACACACACACACACACACACATATATATATATATATATATATATATTCCCCATTATCCTCCTTTGTGGATTCGTTTCCCCAGCTCTGGTCACAGAATTTCAGTTTGGAAAATACACAGAATCAAGAAACAAGAGTGAAGTTCCCAGTCAGATTTTAATGAAGTGTTAGTGTTTTTCACAAGTTGGGTTTGTGGAGATCTCTTGATTTTAGACTTTGGTAAGTTCTCATGAACCAGAGCAGTTACTGAGATTTTTATTCTTTCACTAAATATCTACTGAGTGACTGGCACACTCCACCTCATACGGGCTAGGAATACTCTGTGAACAAATCACCAATTCCTGCCCTTAGAGTGTTTTCATTATAGACAGGGAGAGGAGGCAAAGAGGGGAGAGTTGGAGGAGGACACAGGAGGCTTTGAGAGAATTAGAAAATAAAATTCTACGTTATAAAATGATTAAAGTAAGGAGAAGGGATCAAAACTCACAACTAGGTCCAGTTGGGTAAGCTACAATATAACAGTTTCACAGGGGTTTCAAGGATTCCCTGACCACCGATTTGACCAAGTGTACTAAATACCAATCTAAATATTTGTTTAAACTGAAAAAAATTCTTCATAGAACATCCAATACAAGTTAATGATGATGAGTGGATTTCCTTAAGTTTTCACAGTGGAGTAGAGAGGACTGTGACAGACAACAGCTTCGGCTCCAACACTACTGTGTTGCAACAGCACAGCTTAGGCAAACTCTCCCTGCCAACGCCATCCTCAGTCATAAAGATACAAATTGGAATTCTACTGCTAATGTTGAGTGGAAAATTCACCAAAATATCAATACTAAAATGCTATGAACGCAATGACATAACATCAGAAATTCAGTCACTCTAGAGTATCCAGCAAAAAAATAAATACATAAATTGGACAGGTGCTATGAAAAAAATGTTGGTTGAAACTGAGAATTGATGATGAGGTTTCCCCATGATGGTAAAGCATAAGAATGAATTATAATATACAATTTCATGAGTGAAATTTCCCATGTTATAAAGAAAGGGATTAAATTTAAAAAGGAGATTATCTGCCAAGACACTTGCAAAGTGTGCATTTTTTTTTCACTGAGTACTGATCTGAAATGGTGTTAAGTACTTTTTACATCCACTTCTAACACAGTGTGGCCTTTTGAAATATAGTTCCACATTTCCTTACAGCCCAAGTCAATGAAAGCCACAAAGACAGAGGAACACAAGCGCTAAACTTGAAGACTTACAGGACAGTATGTTAGAGGTTTTTTAGAAGAACTTTGCGTATTCTTTGTTGAATACTAAGAAACAACCACACAACAAAGCTCTATATCCTTAATTCAGTTTTTAGACAGTGCTTTCTAAATGATTTTATCAACAAATTTAAAGACATACCAGATCAGCATCGGCTTTTTTGTAGGTCAGAGCTTCAACTTTGGAGTCCAGTTCTGTTTGTATTTGATCTCTTCTTTTCATAACGCCCTTCATATGAAAATAAAAAGGATAATCAAGCTGGGGTTTCTGTAATATTCTTCTCCCATAACAACTATTTTTATTTTTGAATATTAATAATCATGGGGAATATAGTTCTGATGTAATCAATCATTTGGGGTAATAATATTTTTATAGTTTAGCTTTCTTTACTCTTTAAAATCTCAACTGTAATCAATATTTAAAAATAATCTTTATAAATGTTTTATTATGTTTCCCAAAGCACATTTTATCAGTTTAAGCACTACATGTATGCTGATGGCAAAGTCTTCAAAGAGACCAGAATCAGAATAAGTAAGCAACAAATTCTATCATCCCCTGGTGAATCTGAGGGAGACCTGGGTCACTAACCTGGAAATATCTATAATCATTGGAGCATCTCATTTGACTCCAAAAGGACAGTTAATCAAACTACCAACTATAGCACAAACCAGAGAGCTGAAATATGCATTTCCATCTTAAGAATTTTACTGTAGCCGGGCGGTGGTGGTGCACGCCTTTAATCCCAGCACTCGGGAGGCAAAGGCAGGCGGATCTCTGTGCCAGCCTGGTCTACAAGAGCTAGTTCCAGGACAGGCTCCAAAACCACAGAGAAACCCTATCTTGAAAAACCAAAAAAAAAAAAAAAAAAAAAAAAAAAAGGAATGTTACTGTGTTACTGTAGCTCAAAGTGTGTGAATATTCATCCACTAGCCCAGCTTTGATGAGATATAATGGCTTCTTTGGTTAACTGATAGCCCGAGCTTGTCTTCTTGTATAACTATAACTTCATGTCTCAGTGTACTTAAACTTAAGACACCCTTGTGAATCAATGGAAATGCAGGACCCATGTAAAACTTTACTATATTTTCCCTGTCTTTCAGATTACCTTTCCTTAGGCAACTCAACTTTCTAACAAGATTTAGACTTCAACATCATAGGCATGAGGACTTGTTCCTTGTGGTCATCTTTCCCTGGGCTTAACAATGTTAATTAAGGGGACATTAAATCTGACTCTGGGTAGGCAAACAACTTCACCAGTAACAGAAGAGGTATAATACATGAAGAGACGCTTTACAGAGAGAAGCATCTAGACTTGGTAAGGTGCATGGAAGTCAAAGAACACATGATTGAAGTATATAATGAAATAAATACTTATAAAGCATTTCAATGAAAACTAGAAGGCGCTGGCTTAAAAATGTGTCCAGAGACATATTGAGTCAAGTTTCTCTCCTCACAGAATTGCCTCTCTCTGGTCATTTACAGGTAATTAAGAGCTGCTAGAGCTAAGGGCCTCATGAGGCTATGAGAAATCTATAGGCTGTTAATACTTGCTAGGGAAAGGAGAGAAATTTTCTTTAGTGGTATTACCACTAATAAGTTGTTCATGTTCCTATAACCATCCTCTTTGTTCTTGTAAGCAACCCGATAAAATTTAGTGGTTCAAATCAATGACTCAAGCAAGCAAGCAAGCAAGCAATGAAGCCAATCAATCAAGTAATCAACCAACCAGTAAAAAAAAAAGCATGAAAGTGGAAGTTGAAAAGAAAACTATCATCTGGAGCAATGAAGTTGTGAATATGATGAAAATATACGCATGTATAAAGATGGCATAATGAAGCCAGTTATGCACAAAGATATGCTATGTAAGAAACAAAGTAGATGAAAATTTTTCCTAATCTCGACAAAAACCACAGAAAATTCCATGAATTATCACAAATTTCTTTATAACATTAACTTTGCTTAATGTCAAGATTCCTCTTTAGTGGTTTGAGTAGGTATGGTCCACCATAGACCCACGTATTTGAATGCTCTGCCTATAGGGAATAACACTCTAAGGAGGTGTGCCCTAGAGTAGGTATGGCCTTGTTGGAGGGAGTGCATCATTGTGGAGGCAGTGGTGAGCTCTTACATGCTCAAGTCTGGTCAGTAGGACACAGAAACCTTCTGCTGTCCGTGAATCAAGATGTAGAACTCACCGCTCCTTCGACAGCACCATGAATGCCTGCCAGCTGCTCTGTCCTGCTATGATGATAATGAACTAATGCTCTGAAACGGTAAGCCATACCCAATTAAACGTTTTCCTTTATAAGCACTGCCCTAGTCATGCAGTCTGCCCACAGCCACAGAAACCCTAACTAACACAGCCTATTTTTCCTCTAATCGAAATGACTTCTACTATAATTAAATTCCACATACTTGGGGTATATGTCTGTACTGTACTTCACATTTATAAATATATTTTGAATATAAATATATACTTCATATGATGACACAATTTTCATTATTATTTTTATCAAGATATCGCTACTGATTATTTTAACTTAGATTACAAGATCCCAATATAAAAAGAAGCAAAACAGTAATATAAAAAGTACTGTTTACATCATTGGTAACTATAAGATAATTCAACCATTGAGTAGGTAAATAAGAATGTTTTATAGTAGATATTATGATTTTCCAGGACTTTAATTACACAAGAATTTGCTTTACTGATTCCTATCTTGACTTAGCACAGGGATGGATAAATACTATCTGATTGATGAAAGAAAACCGACAAACCAGATTTTCCTCAAGAATCATGAAGAGATAATAATGAGAGAAAACCAAGAGTTCAGCCAAGGAGATGTGAAGCCTAGGACTCTGATAAACAAGTAGTGTTTGTTTATGGAAGACTTCCCAGAATACAGATAAGAACAGAGTCTGAAAAGTTCATGCAAGATCTAATGACTCTCTCAGAGAAAGCCTAAACATGATAAACGTGTAAACAAGAGAAGGACCTCATGTTTAAAAGGCTATACTACCTTACCTAAATGGAAACAATTTTTGAAAAAAAGATTCCTAGAAATCAGGGGTGTATAACATCAGAAACCAATCATGGTTCCAACTATAAACAGAAGGGACTATATTGGAGTATATGATTAAACTCCCTTGTGGCTAGCCTCTACTATCTCCCTAAAACATTAGACACCAGAAGGAGCCACTGTTCTGTACAACATACTGAGAGCAAAGGGCGATGCAGGGAATAAAATTGCCACTACAGACAGCACTACCAAATGCAAGAATCTGGGAATCTTAAGTTGAACTGAGGAAGAAAAATGTAAAATGTAGATATAAAAAAACAAAAGGTTTTCAAATGGTCAAAGAGAACATTTTAGCTTGAAAAATTTCATTTCAGAAGCAGCCCGAAGGCAAAGCAGATATCAAGCCCCTATTCAATCACTCGCTACATAAAATATACATAATACATATTAAGTATGTTCTAAAATCATAAATGATACAGGAGAGTAACTCTCGGGGAAATAAATCTATAAGACATACAAGAGAAATATTTTAAAATAAAACATTTAAGTGCTAGAAGACTGGTCCTGAAGTAAATCTTAATTGAGGATGCTTTGGATTGACAACAATCATATAAATTATTGGTGCTGCTATTGAGTATTCTAATCCTCTCCTACATGGCTTTCCAGTCATTGATTCATGGATGCTGTGAATCAACAGATATCCCTCGGGCATCTACATGTAAAACATCCCATGAGGACAGGAAAGAGTAGTGGAAACACAGAAATAGGATCAAGCAGGGAATAGCAGTGAGACTCTTGCTAGAGTGGCTTACCATTAGCATCTCACTGTAGAGCACGTACTCATGGACGACAGGGAGCAAGACCTCTGACAGCCCGGACATCCGCTTCTCAGTGGCCTTACAGCACTGCTCGATGCAGTTGGCGATGCCTTTCAATGTGTCAACCAGGTCTTCTTCTGACGCTGACCACACAGTATGAATGGGGCCATACTCTTTCATTTCATCCAAATAATCTAAAACAAAGAAGTGACAGCCAATTTACATTTTCATACCTATTTTTATTTGTATTTATTTGGTTGGTCATGGAACTGTGTGCTACATGTGTTCGTGCATCCACTGAGACCAGAAGAGGGTGCTGGGACCCTTGAGGATGGACAGATTTGCAAGCAGTAGTGAGCCAACATCCTCTGGGAGAGCAGTAAGTACTCTTAAATGCTGAGCCATCTGTGCAACCCTTTAAAATGTTTTTCTTTTTCAAAATTCCTGTATCATAGACAATATGACAGGACATTGCTTCATTCCATACATTCACACTTGGATATAAGCAAATGCTTATATTATCATTAGTTAGTATAATACCATCATATTAACTAACCAGCTATCTCAGGTTGTACAAGTCAGTTTTTGAAGTTCCACTCTCTAGGTATAAACAAAATTGGATGTTTTCACTGTCCAGGATTGGAAAAATATATCATACAATCATCACAGCTATTATAAACTTCCACCTATCATATACCTAAGTATATCAGCGCCTAAGTATGTCCTAAACAAAATCTGTCTTTCTCCTTTTCTTTTAACTATATACACTTTCCAGTAGTAATCATGGCCCACTGACTAAGCAAATCTACAGGGTTCCTCCCTATACTCTCAAAGAATCACTGTAAACACAATGATACTCTTTACATTTAATCTTCTGTCTATGTGGTACACCGAGATCTATTCTACGAAGTGAAGCTACTACTAGCACAACTTATTTTTTCATGATCAAGTGAACTCAAGAAGTTTCAAAATAATAAAGACATGAGTGATCTTATGAGGATAAAGGTGTCAGTGTAATTTCTTAACTTCACTCTTCTGAGTCTAGGTTCATCTTTGGGAAAGAGTGAAGACACTAAACCAGAAAACAAGACCTTTAACAGTTCTGTTCTCAGGCTGTGTGCTCATTGATGGTTATTGTTAGGTAGCTATTCTTACCAAAGAGCCTTCTTTAAATTACTCAGCATTCAACTCACACCGATATGCCAACATTTAGTAAGTTCCCCTGGAATTCAACTCATAATATATGTCTCAAGTACACTGTGCAGTCTGCTAGGCAGGCACAGTTGCAACCTCTTCTTTAGTCCACAGCACAGAGAAGCAACGCAACATGTGCTCAACAGCATTCTGCCAAATAAACTGGGGAGCAGAAAAGAAAAGAAAAGAAAGCCAAGCATATTTTTTTAAGTGGAGAATGAAAAACATCAAAAGAGAAATTGTCCTCAAATATTTCCTAATGTGGATATGAATGAATGACCTGCACAGGTGAAGACTCCAAAATTCCCAAAGGACTCTCCATTAATTTGAGTGGAATCTAGTCCTCCAGGTCTGTTAAGTGGGCTTTATCTCTTTTTTCATTTTTTTAAATCAACATTTCTCGTATAATATAGTTTGATCATATTTTACCTTCCCCAAATCCCTCCTGGCCTTAAATAATGAGAATTCTCCAGGACAGGCTGGAAGCAATCACTTCAACAACAAGAACTTGACATGACAAAGTCTGTCAGGATCAAGGTTCCTTCACAAAGAGTAAAGTCTACTAAACATCCTCTTTGCCAGTAATTTCAAAGCTTGTGGACACCCTTATCACTCTTACGTGTCAATAATTTCCACAGAATGCTTTGAGTTGCTACCCAGCCTAACTGTGTATCCAGAACCTGCTTCAGAGTTCTGCAATCACAGAATCTAGCTAAAATCATTAACTTCCGGAGAATAATAAAAACAGTAAACCCGGTATAGGGCTGCATAACGGACTCCTAGCATGAGGTCAGCTAGACAGAATACATTTTGAGATCCCATGCAAAGAGGAAAGAAAGAAAAGAAAGGAAGGAAGGAAGGAAGGAAGGAAGGAAGGAAGGAAGGAAGGAAGGAAGGAAGAAATGGAGAGGCAGAAAGAAAGAAAGAAAGAAAGAAAGAAAGAAAGAAAGAAAGAAAGAAAGAAAGGAAGGAAGGAAGGAAGGAAGGAAGGAAGGAAGGAAGGAAGAAGAAATGAAAACATAAAGAGGATCAAACCCAATGATTAAAGTGCATCCAGTCACTACATAATGAAGACTGCACATCTTCTAGGAAAATAATTGCGGTTTTTAAAAAAATATTTCTTTGTTAATTCTCTGTATGTTTCAGTATGTATATGTGTAAGTGAGTGTGCTCATCCATGTGTCTGCACATGGAGGCTAGTGGTTTATGTTTGGTGCCTTCCTCGATGACTTTTGCCTTTGATTTTCAGGCAGGCAGGATCTCACGGCGAATCTAGAGCTCCCCTGCCTTTGGCTAGGCTGACTAGGCAGGGAGCCTCTCCGATCCACCTGTCTCTCCTCCTCAGCTCTGGGGCTACAGAGCTACAGATGGCGAGCCTTTGTGCCCAGGTTTGCATGGTTTCAGAAGAGAGAAACTCAGTTTCCCACACTCCCGCAGCAAAGTGCTGCAACCACTGAGCTGTCTCCTACTTCCAAACTCCTTTTGCCCCTTTACATACATTTCTTTATTTATCTGGGGAGCGGTGGAGCACATCTGCCACAGGGCGCCCATGGAGGTCAGAGGACAACTTGAAGAAGTGGATCTCTCCGTTGCCCACACGGCAGCTATCGACATAGTACAGACCAGAAATAAGATCAAATTTCCCTCTGCCTATCTGCAAGGGCCTTACAGTTTAATGACAGATGTAGACAATCAAGAAATTAACAAATAAGCCATCGGTACATTAACTTCTGTTGGTATGTGACCCTTCGTCTCCACTACCAACATGTATTAGAAAACATGTTTGCTGATTCAGCTGTCTCTTGTAGTATTAAAATTAGAAAATAAAAGTCATTTAGGAATAGGAATAGAACTACTGAAAACTAAAGATTAGCCTGATCTGTAAGTGGCAGTTAATAGGAAAGTCTTTATGACATGCATTGAAGGAGTTAACACATCATTCTGCTCCCAACACCACTAGTAAAACACTAGAGAATATGAAAACTGCAACTCCTAAAATGTCATTCTTTCACTTCTGGGTCAAGTTGAATCTTGATACTACCATGGTAGAACTAACTTCAAAATCTCCAGCTCAGAGCTAGAGTTGCCGTCATGGTCTACACACAGAAGCCAGAACAGCTAGAGCTCCACAGAACCAAATGAAAAGTGGCCACGACTACCTAAAAACACTTAGGAAATGTGTGTATGTGCGTGTAGGGTGTATATGTGTGTAAGTGTGTGTGTGTGTGTGTGTGTGTGTGTGTGTTTGGACTGGTGCTCATGCATGAGTGTGCGGGTGTGAATGTGGTGGGGGTGTCAGAAGTTAACCTTGGGTGCTGTTCTTTAGGAAGTAATTACTTTGTTTCATGAGCAGGGTCCTTGAGTGGGACATTAGGATTACTGACTCAAACAGGTCTATTGGACAATGATCCCCAGAGATCTACCTGCCTCTGTCTCTCCAGCACCAGGGTTCTATGCTTATGCCACTACCCCCAGGTTTTTATGCTCATACTACACACAGGTTTTTATATTGCTGCTGGAAATTGAACTCAAGTCCTCATCTGTGAATGTATGTTAAGCACTTTATAGACTGAGCCACGTCTCCAGTTTCTGAAAATTTTTCAATGGATGGCACAGCATGAGTGATAATTTACAAGTAAAATTGTAAGAGGGTCAACCACACCACATCCCACACCACAGCAGCCAAAATGGAGATCCAAAAGAGGTCGAACATCTGTATGACCAGTCTTAGGTGACCCGACGTACCCCTTTCTTCCTTGTAAATTCTCTGAGATATTTTATCTATCAAATTGATTTTCTGGCTAAACGTCTCGATGAAGTTGTTCATTTCCGTGAACTCATCCGGCCGGTTCCTCACTCCTCTCATGGAGGAAGCCACGGCTCTGACTGTCTGCCCCATCCTGCTCAGCAAGCCAGGCCCTTGCTTCTTATAAGAAGACAGTTCCTAGAAACAAAAAGAGAAAGGAGTGTGGTGTGTCAATCAGCAGCATCCCACAGTGTGGTGAGTCAATCAGCAGCATCCCACAGAGCAGCAAAGAGTGAGACAGAGACAGCAACACACTGCACTGTGTGTCTTTTAAAGCACATGCATTTGAGGCATCTAAATTTATTTTTGGTAACATCCTCCCACGCTCCAGTCTACTGGATAAATAGTTCATTTCAAAGCACTTGTGTAAATCAGGTGGGCAGTCTTTTCTCAAAGCATGCATCTTTAAAACAACAACCCTGGGATCAGGGATCAAGAAGATAGCCAAGAAGTCCATGATGTGATAGGAAATCTATATTTCTTTCTTTTCGATTTATGTTTATGTTACGTTCATGTGGGTGTGTTTGCCTGAATGTATATATGTCTCACATTCATGCAGTGCCCTTAAAAGCCAAAAGAGGGTGTCAAATCCTCTCAAACTGAAGGTGCAGACAGTTGTAAACTGAACTCAGATCCTCTGCAAGGGGAGCAAGTGCTCTTAAATATTATCTCTCCAGTCCCCAACCTATATTTTAGAGCAGGTATTCCATATAAAAATGATCTCAAGATGATTTCTTAGGGCCCACGTTAATAGTGAAAAGAGTGGAAAGCTTGATAAATTTTTTCAAGTATAATAGCAGATTATTTATTGAGAGCTTGATATGCTCCAGTAACTACAAGCATGGTCTTAAAAGTACAACTGAGAATACACCCATGTTCTATTATCTTCCTCATTTTCAAAGGGAAATAGCGGCACAGGTAGAGCGAGTTCAAGATGTGCAAGCAATTAAGCAATGGGAGGACGTGGGCGTGGATCACAGCAATCTGAATTTAGAGGTTCCGCTGATCCACTGCTCCACAGGACACACTGTGCCTCCTTCAAGTTCTCATCTTAGTTTATAAGACATTCTCCGATCACGGCTCTTCACCCAAGTGGAGTGGGAAAATTGGGATGCCACCTCCGCTGACTGGCTGTCTGCAGAGGAAGCTGTTTAATAAGACACGTAGCTAGTTATTTCAGAGTTAACATGGCAGAGAGAGCTACAGACAAAAACAACAAAAATAAACAAGAACACGCTATAAAAGGCTATGCAGCCCACGAAAATCATCCCTTGAGAAATACAGTATGATTAAGTGAACAACAAAGCAAACAGAACTCATGGATTTTGAGAAGGGCTGCAGTGTTTGTGACACGTGTTTGTTTGGGATCAAATAAATTGGGGAGCAAAACACATAGGCGATATATATACAGAAAGGAAGGAACTCAAGCTGGAAGCTGAAGGAAGATCTGCTTGTTTAGCAGAGGGGGGAGTGGGCAGAGCTTGTATCTTAAAGGGACAGGGCAGACCATTACAGTCATTCCTGAAGAAGTTGCTCAAGGGTCTTTAACAAAAAAAAAAAAAAAAAGCACAATTGACTAACACACATCAAGGACACCTTTAACTAATGTGTAAAGGCAAGAAAGAGGGAGGATACAAGCTTTTGCACATGTGAACACTAAGGGAGTCTTATGAATATAAAATAGAACCACTTACCGAGGCCTGTGCAGTGAGGAAAACCTTGAAATCTTCATTAAATGTTAAAGTTGGATGATCAGCGATCCTGTTCAGAAACTTATGCAATGCCTTCCTGCGGGTTTCGATGAAGTCATCGTTGAAACGTTCCACCATCCCTTTCACGATAAACTTTTCTGGCAACGGCTGAGACCAAAAATAAAAACAATAACATCTGAGAAAATATGGGTTTGACAGTGGAATAATTGGGGGTGGAGATGGTGACAGGCTACATGGGGGAGGGCAGACAAAACTAAGTTTACATGCCAATATATTAAAAAAAAAGAAAATATGTATTTAAAAAAAATCCATCTGAGGGTTAGTAAGATGGCCTAGTGGGTAAAGGCACTTGCTGTCAAGTCGGACAACCTGAGTTTCATTCCCAGGATTCACATGGTGGAAGACCAGGCTGACTACCTGAGTTCAATCTCCTGTGATCCACATAGCAGAAGGAGAATCGCCCTCCAGCCCACCCCCTGTGCCCAGCATCCCAAGTAGTTCGGAGACCTCCATACACATATGCATAAAAAAATAAAACATCAGGGGGCTGGAGAGATGGCTCAGTGGTTAAGAGCAGTGCCTGTTCTTCCAGAGGTCCTGAGTTCAATTCCCGGCAACCATATGGTGGCTCACAACCATCTGTAATGAGGTCTGGTGCCCTCTTCTGGCCAGCAGACATACACACAGACAGAATATTGTATACATAATAAATAAATAAATATTTTAAAAA